GTTCTGCGCCCTTTCCCCTTCCCAGGACCTCTCCTACGCGCTCTCTCTCTTCCATTCCATCCAACACCCCAACATCTTCATCTGTAACACCCTCATCCGCGCTCACTCCCTCACCCCCTCTCCCACCTCCTCATTAGACCTCTACAACCACATGTTATACTCTGGTCTCCATCCCAATTCCCACACCTTCCCCTTTCTCTTTAAGTCCTGCGCCAAAGCCAGAGCCACCCACCTGGGGAAACAGCTCCATGCTCACGTATTCAAGCTCGCCCTCCACTGTCATCCCCACGTCCATACTTCCCTCATTCACATGTACTCCCAATTGGGTGAGTTGCAGCATGCGCGATTGGTGTTTGATAAAAGTGCTTTGAGAGATGCTGTGTCATTCACCGCTCTTATTACTGGGTATGTCTCAGAGGGCCACGTGGACGATGCCCGACGCCTTTTTGATGAAATTCCCGCCAAAGATGTGGTTTCGTGGAATGCCATGATTGCTGGGTATGTTCAAGGTGGTCGCTTTGAAGAAGCCTTGGCTTGCTTTAGCAGCATGCAGGAGGCTGACGTGTCCCCGAATAAGAGTACAATGGTGAGTGTTCTTTCTGCTTGTGGGCATTTGGGATCGCTAGAGTTGGGAAAATGGATTGGTTCTTGGGTTAGAGATCAGGGGCTTGGTTCGAATATCCAGCTTGTTAACGCGCTCGTTGATATGTATTGTAAGTGTGGTGAAATTGATACGGCTCGTGAGCTGTTTGATGGGATAAGGGAAAAAGATTTGATTTTGTGGAATACTATGATTGGTGGTTATTCCTACTTGAGTTTGTACGCAGAGGCCTTGGCTTTGTTTGATCTCATGCTCAGAGAAAAAGTGACGCCTAACGATGTAACGTTCTTGGGCGTTCTTCCGGCTTGTGCTTGCCTAGGTGCTCTTGACCTTGGTAAGTGGGTTCATGCATATGTGGATAAAATCTTGAAAGGAACGAATAATGTTTCTCTTTGGACTAGTATCATTGACATGTATGCAAAGTGTGGTTGCGTTGAGGTTGCGGAACAAGTGTTTAGAAGCAATGGGTCTAGAAGTTTGGCTTCTTGGAATGCCATGATATCAGGGTTCGCTATGAATGGACATGCAGAGAGGGCTCTTGCACATTTCGAAGAAATGATCAAAGAGGGGTTCCAGCCCGATGATATCACGTTTGTTGGAGTATTGTCTGCTTGTACACAAGCTGGTTTGGTAGATCTTGGACACCGATATTTTAGTTCAATGAATCAAGATTACGGGATCTCACCAAAATTGCAACACTATGGTTGCATGATAGATCTCCTAGCTCGAAGTGGGAAGTTCGAAGAAGCTAAAGTTATGATGGGAAATATGGAGATGGAACCGGATGGAGCTATTTGGGGTTCCCTGCTTAATGCTTGTAGGATTTATGGACAGGTTGAATTCGGTGAATATGTTGCAGAACAACTCTTTCAATTAGAGCCAGAAAATTCCGGGGCATACGTGCTTTTGTCAAACATATATGCAGGAGCTGGCAGGTGGGACGATGTTGCAAGGATAAGAACCAGGTTAAACGACAAAGGAATGAAGAAAGTTCCCGGATGCACCTCCATAGAGATTGATGGTGTTGTGCATGAGTTCCTCGTTGGTGATAAGCTGCACTCACAGAGTGAATATATTTATAGAATGTTGGACGAGGTAGATAAGCTTCTGGAGGAGTCTGGGTTTGTGCCTGATACTTCTGAGGTACTCTATGATATGGATGAGGAATGGAAAGAAGGGGCTTTGAGTCAACACAGTGAGAAGTTGGCTATTGCCTTTGGCTTGATAAGCACAAAACCTGGGACTACAATTAGGATCGTCAAGAATCTTCGTGTTTGTAGAAATTGCCATTCGGCTACCAAGCTAATATCCAAGATCTTCAATAGGGAAATAATTGCGAGAGATAGAAACCGTTTTCACCATTTCAAAGACGGGTTTTGCTCATGCAATGACTGCTGGTGAAACTTCATGTCTGTTCAATGGTATATAACACTTGCACTTGTGTAGAAGAAAGGTGGATGATTTGCATTCTTATGATTAACTGATAACTGGTACATATGTTCTCATTGAAATGTAAACCCTTTTGTTTATAAATACATACAAGTGTGATGAGTTCGATGATTGAGTTAAAGCTAACATTGCCCAATGTCTTGCGGCGGAATCCAACATCCAAGTGATCCGTTTGGAATTCATGCAATGGAAGGTGGGTTGAAGGAGTTCTTTCTTGCAGTTGCCAAAACGGTCTTGTCAGCAACTATTAAATACGGTACTCCCTCCGATGTTTTACATAATTCAGACTCTAGAAGTAATATGGACATCATGAGGAAATCGTTGGCAGCACTAAGGATGAGTCATTTACCTGTTGAAATTATAAGAGCTTGAGCAGTGTGATTGAGATTGGCTCTTGTCCAAGGTAGCAGCATACTTACACTAGCCAGCTGCATATCGAACATAATTTCCAGTTAGCTATTTATAAATAAAAATCTTTATTTGAATATTAAGAAATGGTTGTTAACTGTAAACTAATGATCGAGATTCATTACAGCTTAATGTCCAAAGTAATTGAATGAACCAAAGAAAATTGAATAGGGGGAAGGAGTAATTACACTTGGAATGACAATGGCGAGAGTGGCAACAAACAGCTGACTTAGCTCTGCCACCACACCCTCTGTTTACACACAAATGAAAAAAAAATGTAAATTAAAACATAACAATTTATTCAGATATCTGGAAATTCGCAAATCTCTTCCATGACAATAGTTCTGAAACCGTATACGCGGTTCAAAAGTTTTTGTCGAGACATATAAGAATGGAAAGAAAACAGAGAAGTATAATACACTACAGTTAGAACAGCGCTTGCCCATGGTCAACTTTTGATCCAGTGAAGCCAAGCTACTACTCTCAAAAGAAGAATTAGCAGCAACATTTCCATGGGCCATCTTCAAAAACTTGATTGATCAAAAGATAACAATGGAAGGTGTCCTAGTAAACAGACCAATAACTGAGGTAGCTTTAGATGAATGATTAATGAAGTTGGTGGCATATCTGTACCGAGATTTGATGAACATAATAAATCATTAACTTAAAATTACTCTCCATAAAGGAGAAGGGTGGGTGGGCTTGTGACAGGGTTGGAATTTAGTGGTTTCTTTTATAACATTTTCAAATGTATGACTGGAAAGTGTGGATACATGCAATACCTCTTAATAATAAATAATTATCTAATAAATAAGTTTCTTTTGAAATCATCAATGAATTTAGGATGGCTATGGATTATATTTTCAAAATCTAATAATATAGCTCTAATCCAAATTCAATAAAATAAATTAAAGTTATAATTCAAAAGATTCTAATTAGAACTATTTGATTTATATATATTTTTAATTTAATTTGAATTAAATTAACTTTATCAACTAGATTTAATTTGTTATAGGATCGACTGAATAAACATAACGTGAGATCAATCATACTTAGTTTGAGATGGTCTCAATTTGATTTAGGTTCAACGAATTGGTTGAATAGAGACTTAACTTTTGATCCCATCAAAACATGTTTTCTTAATCTGATCTAATTTCAACTAAAGTTGCACCGGACCAAACTTATTTGAATAAAATAATTCAATCATCATCAAATATAAAACATATATTTAAATATCAAACTATTGTTAATAATTAAAAAATATATAGATATTGATAATATTTTTAAACAATTGATGTTATTTTGCAATTAAGGTTTATCAAGATTTCTTTAACTTGTATTGATGAAGTTCTGTTTTTTTTTTTTCAATTAACATTGATGAAGATTATTTTTTATTGTCAACCACAAATATTTAAATTAACATTAATCAAAATAATTTTTTTATATTACTGAATTTTTTTCTCTTAACTTTTAGATCAATGTTGGCTAAACTATTTTCTCATTTGACATTAACAAATAAAAATCCTACCTATATTGACTCAAAATTTTCGCAATCAACATTAGAAAAAAAAAATCTAACAAATTATTGACAAAAAAATATTGATATTTATTATTACAAACATCAATAAATAATCATGATAGACAATAATGAACAAAATTAGTTCACGAAATATAGCTTTTTGACATTAATAAAGAAGAAATCCTTAAAGAATATCAAATAAAAAATAATAACATGGTCTACAATATAAAAACAAAAAAAATCTCAATAAACTAAAAATAAATAAATAACTCTTATCATGCATCAATAAAAGAATGTAAAAAAATATATATCTCGTTCTTAGTCAACAAAAAAAAATGACCATAATATATATGTTAATCGAAAAAAGTCTTTTAAGTAAACGAATAACTTCCTCCATATTAATTGAGAAAATCTTGATAGATATTGAGCGAAAAATTAGAATATAATTTACAAAGATAATAAGTAATTCTAACCACTATCATACATCAATAAAAAAAATTATTCTTAGCAAAAAAAATAGACGAAAAAATTTAGTTGAAGAAAAAAATATAACTTCTCAAAAGAATAATAGAATAACATCAGCAAAAGAAAAATAATACTAACAATTTAAATAAAAAATAAATATGATCACAAATGAATTATAAAAAGTAATGTCTCATTCTTAATTCTCACAAAATACCAACCGGAATAAAGTTAACGAGAAAATATGAATACAAAAACAAATAAGTATGAAAACATGAAAGACTTAAAATTATTATTTTTAGATAAAATTTAAAATTATATAATTTTAAATAATTCGATTATTTTCGTAAAATTCTTAAATTTTTTTTTAAATTCTATATTTAAACTATATATTCTGTCATAAACTATTTTAAATTTTCCATAAAAATAATTATTCTTTTAAAAGGATTTTTCTCTGTATGTTGTTGCCCTTAGCGGCTCCTCTTCTTAGTTTGTATAAATCTTTAACAAAATAAAATTATCTTCACCATTTCTCAAAGACCTGATGAATGGTACACGTACTTGGGTACAAGAAATGCCAACGATTTGCATTCACATAACTGATAATCGAAAAATATTTGATCTCTCACTATACATGGAAATGCAAATCTTTCTTTATTTGAAATGCATATACATGACGAGTTCGTTCATTGGGTTGAAGCTAAGATAGTTCAATGTAATGCAGCTAAACTCCACATATCCAAAGTTGTCAGATTTGGAATTCATGGGTTGGAGGGTGGGCTGAAGGAGTTCTTTCTTGCAGTTGCCAAAACGGTCTTGTCTGCTACGATGAAATAAGCTGCTCCAGCCACTGTTTACAGAATGTGCTACTTATTAGATCACTAATTCCAACAACCATAGTAACTGTTATCGGAGCATCCTAGGATGATAATAGTTACCTGTGGAAATTATGAGAGCTTGAGCACTGTGATTGAGATTTGCTTTTGCCCAAGGTAGCATCTTCACACTAGCCAGCTGCAGATCAAACAAATGCAAACAGATTATGATTCATGAACACTTTATGCCTAAAATAATTGAATGAAAGAAAGAAAATTGAAAAGGTGGAAGTAATGGTTACAGTTGAGATGGCAGTGGCAATAGTAGCAACAACAGCTGCCTTGGCTCCTGCCATCACACCCTCTGTTTATACGCAAAACAAAAGTGTAAATGAAAACCACATAATATTCAGATATGGTCAAATTTGTAGAAAGCTGTGCATGTATTACCGTGAGAACAGCGCTTGGCCAAGGCCAACTTTTGATCCAGGGAAGCCAAGCTTGTCCTTTCAAAAGAATTAGCAGCAACATTTCTCTTGGCCATCTTCCAAAATTTGGTTGGACAAAACTTATTTTACAGATGAATAAGTGAAGTATGTTTGGTTGAATAGCTGCTGAAGTTGGTGGCATATTTATACTGAGTTTTGGTGAAGAAAATAAATAATTTGTTTAAAACTACTTCTGAAAAAAGTGGAGAGGAATTGGGTAGTGTGCAGTTTGATGGTTTCAATTGAAATCCACGGTCTCAGGCAGTTGTTTTTTCACTACAGTTTCGGTTTCGGTCTGTTTGATGCTTCTGATGTTCCCTGAATTATTTTCATACTTTATCCAAATTTGGGCATGTGAGGATTTTTGTGTTATCTTATTCTAACAAAGCGCAATAAAGAATGAAGGTGACTGGTCTTATCCACAGGTGCCATAAAAGTGCAAAACCAATTACGCCCTCCTTTAATTTGAACGCGTAATTGTTGTTTTGGTTCCGGTATTGTTTCCCGTAATTTAATTCGTTCTTCTTCTTTTTTTTTCAATTAATTCATCGTATTTTGTAAAAATAGTTTAATTAATTTTTAAATATTGAGAATAACGTCGTATTCATACATGTTATTCGTAAATTTATAGTATTTTAAATTTTTTAAAATTAAAAATAAAAACATCATGTACGATTAGTATTGTATCATGTGACACCCGGACACTGACGAGGGCGGGAAGTGAGCACCGGTGCAAAAGGCACGAAGTGCAAGGGGCACAAATAAGGAGCGACTCCCGGCAGACTTCAAGTGGAAGGGACACATGGATTAATCGAACATACACCGGAATTAGAAGATCTAGAGACTGTATAGGTATGGGACTATACAGTTGAAAGATAGTTTAAAGGGATTGATTTGGCTACTCATATCACCAAAAATGCATTTGCTTTTCGGTAGCCTAACCCATAAGAACTTCTTCCCTGTAAGTTGTCGGGGCGTTACAAGTGGTATCAGAGCCTAGCCTCTTCCAGTACGATGTGGTTTGAGGACAAACCATGCGGAAGCTGATGGGCATGTGACACCCAGACACTGACGAGGGTGGGGAGTGATTGCCGGTACAAAAGGCACGAAGTGCAAGAAGCACAAATAAGAAGCGACTCCTGACAAGCTTCCAGTGAAATGGACACATAGATGAATCGAACATACATCCATAGGAACTTTAATGCCAATCTAATATAATTAACTTAATTAGATAAATTTTACAAATATAAAAACTTAATTGAAAAACAAAATTTAAAGATCAAACTAAATCAGGTAATTAAACCTTATTTTTATATTCAACAAATTTTTACACGGTTTATATTCATTATTTTATTTTTTAATCTCTCTATCTTTTTTCTTTACAAATATAAAACTTAACTCATTGATTAAAATACTTTTAAAAATAATTGTCAACCGATACAATAAGTGTCAAAAAAACATTTTTCTTGAGATTAAGAACTATTATTTTGATATCTAGCAAAATTTTAAAGATACTTTATATCTACTATTTTACACTTCAATTTTTTTTATTTCTTTACAAATATAAAAATTAATTTTATTTTGTACGTTTTAACACATATACTAAAGAACATAATTTAATAAAATTTATTAAGTCTTTTCTTCTTGAAACATTCTAACTCATATATTAAAAGAATATTTATATATTAATTACAATCTTAATTAATCTCGACAATTTGATATTATAATTATTATTTAAAATAAATTATATTTTTATAATTATTATTTACTTAAAATAAGTATTATTTTTAAAATATCATTCAATATTATGATATAAATCATCAAGTTAATCTTATAAATATAATTAATATTTTTTCTATCACTCTAATAATCACATTTATATTCACTATTTCATTCTTATAAATCATAAAATTGTAAATCTTTTCAACTTTCACAAACACGTAAAAGATTTTAAAATCACTCATGTTATGTCACATGTAAAAAAGAAAAGAAAAGAAACTCTGTTAAAATTCCCGGTAAGAACAACCATACGTCTAAAAGTAATTTTTAATTGATACGTGTAAAAAATATTTTACTTAGTTTTTACCTAGGTCCTGTATCTCTTTGTTTACTGTCACTTTTTTTGTAAGATAATAATAAAACTAAAAAAAGAGTGCTGGTGGTTTAGATGGAATATGGACAAAAACCATAGGCATTTCTCGTACATCAATCCCAATAACTAAATATTTTACAACACTGAGTTATCAGAGTCAATATCATGATACCATGTTCTGGGTAGGTTAATAGATTATTGTAGTTGCATCTCGCGAGGGTCATTTTCTTTAATAAAATAAAAACAGATAAAGATGTGATAAAGTTTCTTTATAAATAAAAATCATTTTTATAAAATAAAAATAACTTATTCATAAAGTAACGTCTAGTTTTTATATAATTTATATATTTTTTAAATTTATAAATAAATTAATTTTAGCCTCGGAACATGTTCAAATTTCTTTATATGAGCGAGTTCTGCAAAAAATTGTTGGTTCAATGTGATAAAAAACATAGGATCATCATTGTTAAAGTTACAATAAGAAAACATCGGCATTAGTTAGATAGCAACACGTGTCGAACTTCCCATGTGCTATATTCTGGCTGTCGGACTCTAAAAAGCTATGGGATAAGTTTTTTATTTTCAAAGAGAGAAAAACGTAAGAAATTATTTTCTAGAACTTTTTTTATTATTTTAAAATTTAAAAAGTATTTATAAAAAATAAAATATTAATGAAACATATTTCTAGATATACCCAAAGGTAAAATAATTACTGAAAATATAATATTGTAAAAGTTGAAACAGCCAACCTGAGTTCTATTACTTCAACTTTTTCCGCATTTGAACGGATTCTATGCTGATTATCTTTACATGATAGTTATTTTATAATTTCCTATATTTTAATATAGTGGCATGAAAAAGCATATGCTAAAAATCTAAATAGTAATACACAGCAAATTTACTGTTAAACTATTACACTTTCTCTTCTGAAGCATGCCGTGTTCATGACTAATTTATTAAGTATTTATTTCTCTGTTCTGTGGTCTTAGATCGTACCTTACACTATAAAATATATAGTTGATTAGAGATAATTTAGAGAGAAGATATGGAGGTGAGGAAATAAGGGCTTGTTGTGGGTATTTTTATATATTATTATCTATTCTCACTATATTTTTTTTAATTTTTTATAATTATCACTGTGAAAAGTTAAAATTAATAGTTTCATTTTCATAACTGACATCAATATTCTGATATCAAGCACTAAGATAAAATCTTTAAGGTTAATTACTATATATATCTAAAGCATGTCATTATATGGCCGAGAAAACTATTTATATACACACATCTTTCATAATGCAACGAAAACACTTGTAAAAAAATCATAATAAAATTATCAGAATACAAAATAGACAATAATTAGGACATATTGATATTTGAAATATCAGTGACATAACATTTTATTTATTTATGTTGATTATATTATATTTCAATTATATTAATTGCAATTTGTCTATTTATAAATTCGGTTGTTCAAAGAAAGAAATAAAGAAGGGGGATAAAAAAAATTAGACGAAAATGAAAAGAGTTTGATGAAAAAAGAAACCGAGTAAAATAATAATAAAGGTATTATTTAATTGATTAAGTTATTATTAGTCTTAATTTATTATTTATTATTATGATCATTATTTTTTTATTGTTATACGGAGTAGAAAGAAACTCACGTTCACTTGCATAGAAGTTGTTAAAATAATTAAAAAATTTAATTAAATTTTAAGTTTGTCATAAATTTAAAAATTTTAATTAAATTTTTGATATTTTTTTTTAATTTAAAACTTTTCAATTGAGGTTCTAATATTAAATTTAGATTTATTTGCTAATTAGGTAATGTTGATATATTAATTGGACGAGTGTAATTGTGATATGATTCTTGGTTTGTCCGTGTAGTTGAGAGTAGCATACAATTAAAAGTCACATAACCTAATATTAAAAGAAAAAATTTAACATAGATTTAATTGAAAAAAATTTAATTTTTAAAGATTCAATAGATTATAAAAAATTATTAAAATTCAATTGAAATTTTTTAAATTTATAAGATTTAAAACTTAATTAAAATGATAAAAATGTTCACTATAACTAGATTAAACTGAAGTAAGATCATCGTATACTTTAAATAGGATGTAATTATCATTCAAAGATGTAAAAAAAAATAATGGTATTTTGACACAAAATTTATTTTACATTCATTTAACATTATTTTTTATTATTTTTCATTTTCTTTTTTTTCTTACAAATGTAAAAGTTTATTTTTTATAATTATTTTCCTTTTATGTGAATTGTCAAACCACCTTTTTTTTTTATATATTAATCAATAACCAATAATCAAGTCTTCATTTCAATTTGGATGAGATGTTTTAAGAGAGAAAAAATGTAATAAAAAACTTATATTAACCAATATGTTTATTTAAACTTTTAACGTAAGAAAAAATAATTTATTAAGAAATAAGTTAAAACTAACTTATTTTTATAAATTACTGTAACTTATAAAAAATAAGTTGGTCTAGAAACTATTTTAAAATACACAGAAATATATTTGATAAAAAAATATTTTTGTTTCAATCAAGTTGGGAGCATTTTATTAATATTTTGAGCTGTATTTTACTTTTTTATTTAAAATTTTTATTTTTAACTAATTTATAAATAAATTTAAAACAAATCAGATGTTTGGTAAGAGATCCACTAACAAAATATTTTCTAACGTTTACAGAATTTAATATCCTTATACTGATAATGATTATTTATAGAAAAATATTAATTATATTTATGAGATTAAGATGGAGTATGAATTTATGTTATTATTAGAATAATATTTACTTAAATAATAATAACACTCATCATAAATAATAATTATAATACTAAATTATTAAGATTAATTATAATATGCAGATATTATTTTAATAGAAATAGGTTTGAATTGTTTGGTTAGTATATAATTTTTAATATGTTTATTGATAGGATAGAAACATCAAAAAATTTAGCTTTAATATTTTGTTTGAGCTTTAATCTTTTGTTCCTCCTTTCTCC